TCTTCTATAAAAGAAACGAGTCCGGAACACTTTGGAGGGGGTATCTGTAGGCATAAAAATTGCCTATAGGTCTCCACGAACGGCTCAGTGTTAAAGAGCGATGATGAACGTCACTATCCGATCTACAGGAGTCCAATTGACGTCGACGAACGACTGAAGTGAATCGACGAGCTACGTGAGCTGATAGGATTTCGGAACAACGAAGACCCGGGCCAATCAGGAATCCGGTGATGTTCACAAAAAGGACGATGCCCCTCATGCCTCGATCACTCCACAGATAATCCAACCACCAGAGCGGATCGAATTCTTCGTCAAGCATCCAACGCACTTGGAATCACTCAAATCCGAGTTCGGACGAAGAATCTATGGGGAAAACAATCAAATACACCTCAACGGAGTCTCAGAAGTTCCAAAACACCCCAAGGGGTGTCTCAGAAATTCCGAGACACCCCAGGGGTGTCTCGGAAATTCCGAGACACCCTAGGGTGTCTCGGAAATTTCCGAGACACCCCAAGGGTGTCTCAGAAAATCCGAGACACCCTAGGGGTGTCTCGGAATTTCCGAGATACCCCTAGGGGTGTCTCCGAATTTCCGAGACACCCCAAGGGTGTCTCGGAAATTCCGAGACACCCCAAGGGTGTCTCGGATTTCTTGAGACACCCTAGGGTGTCTAGGCACCCTAGGAGCCCCCTATTGCCTATAAATAGCCCCCCTTGGGCCTCATTTTGAAGATCTGGATTTTTGGAGACCCTTGGCGAAGCCCTGCTGCAGTGAAGAGTGATCGTGTGCTTCAACAAGGAGAGGAGAGGTCTACATCAGAGCCTTCATCACCCGTTTCCCCTTTTCCTTAGTATTACCCTTCGCCGGTAATTACTAAGAAGAGCCGATATCTCGTTTTAGCCGAGATAGACGCTTCAAGCTTCTAGATCTCACGCGGATCGACGAAGCTCTGCCCGATTTTCTCGGAGCAGATCTGAGTGCCCGGTGGTCCACGGATATCAACGTCCCCGTCACAGGCCAAAGACCCACGCAAGCAAGAGACCGCAAAACAGGATCTTGCGTTTATTTTCAAGAAAGTTGTAATTTTTATTTCTTTGTTATTCGAATTCATTGTAACGACTGAAGTTTAATGAAATCAATGATGAAGGCAACTTTTCCTGAAAACACTCTACTCCTATAACCCACATAGTATTTTCCCATCGCCTTCCTCGGCCTCTTCATAAAATTACTGAGTGGAATATCCTCAAGCCCACCTTTCCCTTGTTGCTGCGTATGCACATCCCCAGTCTGAAATTGTGTCTCCTCCACCACATCAGATCTCTTCTCATCCAACTGCTTATCCTCTTCATTCTTGTTTACTTCGTCTCTCACTTCTTTGTATCCACTGAAATACTCCTAGAGGTTACCCAGTGCATAATTAGGCACAAACTCATTATCAAGGATTTCTCTATCGGCATAATGCCAGTCAGCTTCATCCACAGTTGGCTTTATTTTTTTTTTTTTGCTGTGCAATAAGCTTCTTCACATTTTTCTTTAAAACTTCAGGATCTATTATGTCACCAGATCCCTCCAATTCCTTAACTTTTTCGTTAATCCTACGAATCTTGTTCATGAAGGTTTAACAGTATAATTTCTTTGAGAGCCTCAGTGAACGACATATTCTCTGATTTAGTTTAGCAGTATTTCTCTAGAATTTGAGCTGCTCCTCAATTAGTAACTCCTTAATCTCATCTTTCCTTTGAAAAGCATCATCAATGGAGTTTGATATAATCTATAGTTATGTAAAAAAGAAAACAGTTAACAGTTGCTTATAAAGTTTAACATGTAAAGACCTACAGTTAACACATACAACTTAAATCTAGACAGTTCACATGTATGCGCTAATTATTAACATGCAATCAAGTACAAGGCACATCCTTTCATCAAAATTAATAGTTCATCTAATATACTTAATGTACACTGGTTTAGCTCTTAGATCTTACCAAACCTATTGACGATCTCTTCTTTCATCTAATATACTTAATGTACACTGGTTTAGCTCTTAGATCTTACCAAACCTATTGACGATCTCTTCTTTTCTTCCTTCTTTTTACCCTTTTTTCGTTTAGCTCTTAGATCTTACCAAACCTATTGACGATCTCTTCTTTTCTTCCTTCTTTTTACCCTTTTTTCTTCTCCAATCTTCCTCCTGCTATCTGCTTTCTTCTTCTTGATAAATTTTTTCAGAGAAGGTCATGTCTGCTTCTTTACTAGGATTGGTTGAATCCCTTTACTTCTAATCCTCATTGAATCATCTTCCCTCATATTTGACCTTCTGAGTGGATATTTCTCTACCCATGGGCCAAATTTAGCTAGTTGTTTCTGTACAACAGAAATGGTAGCTTTTCCAGATTTTGCAACTATTGTGTCATTTCGGATAGATCCAGACTTCTCACCGATCATCACCCAGTTAGTGAGGGGTGGCTTGAATCTATTGCTCAGGGCATATCTTTTCTTTTAATCCATGTCATTTCGTAATACCATAGCTGGAAACAAATTGTTACAATTAATCAGTTAGTATGCACTAGTAATCTTTTAAACATGAATATAGTTAACAGAACTGAACTGAAAACTAGTTAAACATGAATATAGTTAACAGAACTGAACTGAAAACTAGTTAAACATGAATATAGTTAACAGAACTGAACTGAAATATAGTTAACACTAACCTCACAAACTTTAACACTGAACTATAGTTAACATGAACCAGTTAACCTTAATTACTTTTAACTTAAGTTGACAGAATACATGAAAAAGTTGATAGAATACGAAGCTTGATCGAACGAGACGACAATGTGGTGTTGACTCGAAAGGTGGGTGTTGACTCAAAGGGTGGTGCGAGTTGACACGAAGCTCGACCGAACGAGTAGACAACGTGGTGTCGTCTCGAAAGACGGGTGTCGACTCGAAGGGCGGTACGAGTCGACACGAAGTTCGACCGAAGTAGACGAGAACGTGGTGTTGACTCAAAAGGCGGGTGACAACTCGAAGGGCGGCGCGAGTCGACACGAAGCTCGACCGAACGAGACGACAATGTGATGTCGACTCGAAAGGTGGGTGTCGACTCGAAGGGCGGTGCGAGTCGACACGAATCTCGATCGAATGAGACGATAATGTGGTGTCGACTGGAAAGTCAGGTGTCGACTTGAAGGGTGGGTCTAGCCAACTAGAGTCTGCCAGCCTCTCTATTCTGACTCTAATATACCTATGTATACATTACTCATATATATACATCAAATTGATCTTAAATCAATTCCTAACATACTCAAACATCAAAATATATTATTTATAACCATATAACGTATTTATTATCATATATCATAATATTTTAAATTTACGGGGTTTTACATGCACTTATTTAAGTTTTTAGATTAATAGAAGGTGGATTTACTGATTGAAATATAGAGGCTCGAAACTTCTTTTTCCTATTTCTTATCTATAGTATTTTGGACAAGCACATTGTACATGATATATATGGAGGTTGTCGGATGATATATGGTCGAGGGGAGACAAGTTTGCTGCAATGGAGTGGTGGGAGAAGTCATATGAGAGACTTTATGAAGGAAAGGATTGTGACATTGATAAGCTATGTGCTCACTATGATTTTTATTGTTTGAAGTCTGTTTAATCATTGTCAATTTCTTTATTGTCATATTCCCTTTGGATGTTTTTGTTAAATTTATTCTTCAGTTGTAGATGTTGTATGGCGTAGAGTCAGGAATCTTATAAATTGATGATCATATTGTTGGATTTGCTTACACAGCCTATATAAAACTGTACTTTGTTCTTTTTTTACAGTGGTTATGGTTTGTTTCATTTAAATGATTATTACTTTTGAAATAGATGAAATAACTATAAAACAGGTGCATATCAATGCTACAATTAATTCATAAAATAAGCTATAATATTTATGCTGCTATTTTATATTTATTGAAAATGTTTCTAAAAAATTCATAGGAATGGTTATTTTCCATTGTTAATGCACTTTGGCAATGGTTGGAATTTAATGGCATGTATATTTTATTTTTTTAAATAAATTTTTATATCTTATAGAAACAATTTATTTCCATTGGTAATACCACTTTAATAGCAATTGAGTTTTGTTGACGTGAATTTTTTATATTTTTATAACAAATACTCTAATAGAGACGGTTGCCAAAATATTGCAACGGTTGTTGACCATTACTATAAGCAAATTGCAATGGCTTCATTATTAACGGACTATTTGCAACGGTTCTAACTGTTGTTAATGTATTAGAAACAATTGAAACCGTTATAAATAGGCCTATTTGCAACGATTCTGGCGATTGCTAATGTGGCCTTTTGTGATTATTATCATGCATTGACACCTTATTTTGGAAGTTCAAGTTGTATGTAAATAGAGATGCATAACAAAATTACATGAGAAAATAAAAGAAGTTATCTCCACAATTTCATATCTCAATTCTCCTCTCTTAATTGTAGTTTTACTTTTCCTTGAGTTATTTTATAACAGGAAATTGATTTAATGAAGTAAAAGAAATAATAAGTGATGTTTTCAAGACGAAGAGATCTTAGTAATAGATATATGCAAATAGGGGTCCTCTCAGAAATGCTCTCATGTGAGCAGGCGGTTTTGAGCCACAAATGGGGAGGGGCAACTACAAAATTGCCCCCTTAGTTTCCCCACTTGTGGCTCATAATAGCCCGCTTGCATGCGGACGGTTCTAAGAGAAACCAAACTCGATATACGCAAGGTGTTCGTGTGTATATGAGAGAGAGAGAGAGAGGGGGGCGGGTTGACTTATTAGAGGCTTACCCAACATACGCCTGTCTCAATGACAAAACAACCCATGGAATGCTCCTACTTCTGCATCCCCCCATAAGGGCAAATAAGTCCTTTTCACTCAGTCAAATCTTTACAGAAGCCCGAACCTTCTTCCCCTTCTTCATCCGTTCCGGTGCCTTCTCACTTCACAGATCATTTCTTTATGGTTATATTCTAATTTCAAACTAACCAACCTGTATTAATTTTCTCAAAACTATACCAAGTCCGTCTTTGAACGAGTATGCTACACAAAGAATATATTGGAAAGGGTCTGTGACAGGAAAAAGAAAAATTGAGAGCTGGAGAGAGAAAGAGGAGGAGATGGGTGAGTCTATAGAGAGAGCGTTGAGGTGCTTAGGCAAAGGTTTTGACGTAGCCTGCGACTTCAGAGCCAAGTACTGCAAGGGCAAAGAGAGGCTGGTTGTGATCAATGAGGAAGAGAGAGAAGAACTTGTGGTACCCGGGTTTGGATCTGTTGCAGATGTTTCTGTCGATATAAAATGCGATAAAGGTGATCGGATGCGGTACCAATCCGACATCCTTGAATTCAATCGGGTACTGGATGCTTCTTCTTCTTCAGTTAGTATTTAAGTTTGTTCTCTAATACGACGAAATAATATAAAAAGTAAAGCCCTTTGCTTAATCAGTGCATGCGTACATTCTCCTCAAACGTTACTATACTTAATTGTAAATATATACGACTGAATTCTTACTTTTGTTTCAATTAGTTTCAAGTATGATGATACATAAGCATTTACAGAACTAGATTATTGTTTCTTGATATATAAAATAAAACCTCATAGTCCCTTGATTAAGAAAAGCAGTATTTTCTTATTTTTCTACTCTTTTCTCTAATTATCTCAAGATATTATACTTATCCTTTTCCTGCAATATCCTCTTGATGCATATTTTGTGTCTAATTTTTCTAGCATCTTGTCATGACTAGTTTAAGAAAAAAAAAGTATGCCTTCTTAATCAAAAGCAAATCTCACAGGATAAATGAAAATGCTATATCTGAAAGTGGTAAGATTAATTAGGTCGCTTAATTTCACAGTTGCGATCCGCCTACTCTCTTGGTCATTGTAATTACAATAATGGCAACCACCCAGGTTAAAAGACCAATTCAATCCTTTCAATATCACCAAGTTTTTCAAATCAAGATTTGGAAAAATAATGTGGATCAAAGAGAGTTCACATCAACCTTGTGTCTCCATTTGTTCACATGGCATAGAGTAAAGTCATGGTTGATAAAAGCAGAGGTTTTTATTTTAAACGTTTGCACTTATTTGTGTTTAACACTTTTTCTCAACAATTGACGCCTGTAATCAATGTTTAATGGCACATCAGGAATTAAAAATGAGGAAAAAAAAAACACACTATGGGGATGTTTGTTTCAAATCCTATATTTTTAGGATATGGATTTCACCATGGGATTTGAAATCCATATGTGTTTTGTTATGGGTTGGGATTTCTAAAATGTGGTTTGTTTTATTAATATTTTAGGATTTGGAATACAATAATTTGTAATATTTGTTTGTTTCAAGCTCAAATTGTAGCATTACCAAATGCCAAAATTTTGTAATATGATGAATATGCTATCTTGGTGAGGTTATCTCCCACAAAAAGACAAAATTGGGATTTGTCAAATCCTCTCCAATTGAGAGTAAGCACACCAATTTATAGGATTTGTCAAAATCCTCTCCAATTGAGAGGATTTGGCAAATTTTAAAAATTGAACACTTTTTGTACTTTTGGGATTCAATATTCTAAAAACTTTCCTAAAACAAACACCATATATGGAATCCTAAAATACAAAAAAAAACTCACTTTTTGATCCCAAAATTTGTAATCCATACCAAATGCCAAACTTTTTGGTGAAACAAACACCCCCTAAATGTATTACGATCGGTTATTAATATACATTTTTTCCTAACTAACTATATAACAGGCACATGCAATATGCACGTGCGAGAAAAACAATCTATCGTAAATAATTTAATATTGATTAATGACATTAGTTTTTTTTCAGGTAAATAGTGAGGACATCTTAATCCACATTTGAGTCGTATTTTATGGCCACAATCCTTCTAAATTTTAATTTTGATTTGTTACTTTTCTTATAAACCTTGATTTGATTAATTAAAATTTATATAATTGTATAGACTTTTGTTTATAAAAAACTTAGTCTTTATCTATATTAATAAAAAATTATATCGATTAAAATGTTCCAGAAGCAACAAAGAGAAAAAATGATTATTCAATTGTAAAGACCTTATCTATGTTTATTGCAAAATATGAATAAAATATTCTAGAAATAATAAAGAGAAAATCTCTTTTGTTAAATTTCCTTTTTACCCTTTCAGCTATAGTTGAAAAGAGGGCGTGTCCACCACTCATCCATTTTTTAGATTGCCATCACTTGGATCATTATATAGTAGTATAGATTCTTTTCATTTGTACACCTTCCAAACTTCTATAGGTATCACACTGATTAATTTTTGCATTCCTCTCAAATTTTCTTATCCCATTTATATATTTTTCTAGTTTGAAACTTTTATCCTTTTCCACTAATTTTTTTGAACCATAATCATGTAACATATTATTTTTCTATTTTATTATTTTTAATTTATGACAAAAATATAACTTACATATCGCTTGCATTTCATTATCTAGAAACAACTTTCACTTCAATAAATCGAAGAAATACGAAAGTTTATCACAATCTTTTCTAAAAGTTTACTTAGTTTAATTATCTAAAAATTTACTAATTTTCCTTATTTCATTGTAAAGTCATACTATTTTTTTAGAGGGATTTAATAATATATTTTTTCCTACTTTAAAATTTTGATCTATAAAAAATTTGGAACTACTTAATGGATTTGGTAGTAATTGGTTGATTTCTTGATAAGAAGCAACAAATCAAAACAGGGAAGGGACTGTTGAAACGGCTTTGGAGAGGAGAAGAAACAAAGAAAAGGAAGGGGGGAAAATACCCATTTTTCAGCCTATTTCCTAATTTATACAAATTTTAAAAAATTAATAATATTTCTATTTTTGGAGTACCAACTCAAATATTTATTGTACTAGGTAGAAAGTATAAAAAAAGGAATTTCTATTGCATAAGTTGTAAAATATGTGAACTATATATTAGTGTAATCTGTAGAGATTTTACTTCTTATATAACTAGATTCATGTTGTTATTGGGTAAGGTCAACATCTAGATCACATCACGTGTTGTTTGTATCCAATGTTACCAACCTTTTGTCTAGTGCCCCCCCCCCACCCCCAAAGAATACCCCCCCCCCAACCCCAAAGAATATATATATGAGGTGATATCGGTGGTTAGGTTGAAAATAACAGTCGGTCAGCCCACACATTCATGTGCAAATATGTACTTGTAAATTTCTACCGTCTTTTTCTTGAAGGAATAAATTTCTACACTTTGATTGTCTCTATTCTCTATTTCCATGCTATCATTCTCCATTCATCTTTGATAACCTCTAAGATTTGAACCATATCGTGTCTTGTTGCGCCTCCATTTTAGACTTGTAAAGAGGGTTAAGCTAATGATTCATGACTAATAGCTGCATTTGATTCCGAGTAAATGGCTATATTTATGTGCTATGGTAAAAAGGTTGCAAAAAACTTGCATAACTAGCTAATAATTAAATCTCTATGGAAATTTGGTGGAATTAACCTCAACTCGTGGTTAAGTCTATTACTGCATACATTAATTATCAACTGTGACTTAACCATACTTTGGTCTATCTACCATACTATGATCTCTCTCTCCCAACTTATCGGACTTTAGACTAAAACTCACTCCTCACACCTCAAATTAAATTCTGATCTCGCTTGTTGGAAAAGTAAATCGATCGGCTATTTGCTATTTGGCCGTGCATTTTTTTTCTAATCGTTTTTAATCTGTAATTATACTCGCATATGAATTTCTAACACTCCACATCATTAATATTGTACGTTGGCTAGATGCTCTAGTACGCAACTGAGAGGAGAGTTTCTTAATTGACGTTTCGGTACTGAAATAAGTAAAATAAAAAAAAGAGTTGTTAGTTTTATAAAAACCAAAACTTTCATAAATGCAGATGTCTGAACTGTTCAACCAGAAGAGCTCACTGGAAGGGAGGATCCCTTCAGGACACTTCAACTGCATGTATGGATTCAATGGCAACTCATGGGCTAGAGATGCCTCTGACACTAAGTACTTGGCCATGGATGGTTTCTTCACCTCCCTCTTCAACCTTCATATCGATCGATGCCCTCTTGCTCTCTCCGATCGTGTCATCAGGGCCCTTCCCTCGACGTGGGACCCACCTTCCCTTGCAAGGTATGCTGATCCCTGTTTTTCCTAAATTTGTTTTTCTTCATAAATAAGAAAAATAAAAATGAAAAGATCGAACAGCTCCCATCATCAACAACTTCAACGGCATCTATCATCATTCAACTCATTAATTTGTTATCACCCCTCAATTCATGGGTACTAGGGGGTTATCTGCAATTTACTATTCTTAAAATACAAAACCTAAGGCTCAGAAGCGCTAATAGACCAGTTATTAATAGATGATAAGTACTTGGGGAGAAAATTTATCCTTGGAACCCTCAGTTTGATGCGTAATCTTCTGTAGTTAATGAAGGAAAATGAATTTCTTGAAATTGAAACATACCGTACCAATACTCTGGAGATGGGAAATAACAACAAAGTCAGCCATCTCAGTGCATATCAAACATTTCAAAGTGAAACTTCAGTCAAATGTCTACAGTTTTATGACAAGTGCATCACAAATAATGCACAAAAGTCAAATATTCCTGGGTTAAAAAAAGGTGGAGTATCCATAGAACCATGGACCAAGTCTAATTTCATCTCTCAGAATGTGGTCCTAGTCATGACGAGGAACCTGGATTTCAACTCTATATTCAAATGCATATTAAATTTTATTATGCTGCCATTGAACAGCTTCTCTGAAGTCCTCCTCTCTTTAATCATGAAATGGATTTCAGAAAAAGTCTAAAGATTCTTATTAATTTTCCACTAGCACCATTAACATGATATGACCAAGAAACGGATACAAAAAAAAAAAAAAATGGAAAAATTATAATAGTCTAGAACTAATTAGTGTAAGAAACATTCCAGGAAACTTTTATTCCAAGGTAGACCAATTTTTGTCACGGTAAATACATTACTAGACGACCCCCCCCCCCCCCCCCCCAACCCCACACAAAAAAAAGAAAAAAAATCCCCTTACACAACATGAATGTTAAGCTACAAGCTCACAAAGTTTATGAGAGTTCATCTTCCATCTATATATTCTGTTTGAGGAGTTTTACTTATGCATAATGCATACTGTTGCAATAAAGGAGCTAAATCTGAACCGGCATATGCTCGTGTGTTCCTATTTTTTTTGGATATTTAAGGTAGCCTATGTGAATCAGACAAGCACAAGTTCAAACAACAACCACTCCTTCAACGCCCCCCCCGCCCCCGCCCTACCCACACTCCACCGCCTCCAGCCCAAAAAAAAATAATAAATAAATAAAAGCTTGCGTTAATTGTAATAGATAGATGGATACAGGCTTTATCTATTTAAATTTTTTTGTGCTATACTAAAACAGGTTCATAGAGAATTATGGTACCCATATTATTGTCGGACTAAGTATGGGAGGGCAGGATGTTGTATATGTGAGGCAAGACAAATCCTCCAACCTCTCACCCTCAGAGATCAAACAGCATTTGGACAAGCTTGGTGATGAGATCTTCACTGGGACTTGCACCCTCTCTCCCCATCCAAGGGAATCCAAATCGAAAGGCCATAAGGTTAATTTCATGACAGAAACTCGTGCATGTCCACATACGCTATCTGGATGTAAAATTTTAACGGAGAATTTGGTTTTACAGGTTCCAGAGGCTTTCAATATCTTTGACCCTCAACCCATGGTTCTTGATGGCTTCACCACTGTATCATGTAAAGATGTAAGCTCGAAGAATCCTACACATTATCATTACTAAATGTAATCCTTTAACCAGGAAATGAGGCTATATAGGTAATTGAAGGGTCTTTTCATAAATCCCAGTAAAACAAAGTTTCAATAATGCTGTGTAAATTACAGAAAGAGGGTGTAACCTCTAATATTCTCTTGGATGACAAAAGAATGTAGAATAGAAATTGACATATGTTTCATATATAAATTGCATTCACTACCAAGATAGCGAACATGCTCCATAGAACATGTTTTCCAAAAGACACGAACATAAAATGCATTTAGATCACAGTGGCCATGAGAATGCCATTTTGTTGAAAGAAAAAGTTAAAGGTAGATATCAGATACAACGCATAAAAGGATATTCCCATTCATCGGCATAGTAATAAAGCATGAGTATAAATTTCTTTGGGTGTTGTAGACATTGTATAGGTATTTTATCAGTACATACAAAAAAAAAATACAATGATTATAACTTAGATTAATAACTTATCCCAGGTTTTTCGATTCTTCAGATTGATTCATGGTTCTTTCTCCTACTAATCAAAGTCATGAGTAGTATCAGTTATTTTTATTCTATCAATTTGGTGATTGCAGAATTACAAAGGTATTTATGTTCAAATATTTCAGGGAATAACAGTCGTAAGCTCAAAGAGAGGAGGAGACGCAATGGCGAGCAGCCATTATGAATGGCTTTTCACAGTCCCTTCGATGCCCGACGTCATCAACTTTACTTTTGTGCCTATCACCTCCCTCCTCAAGGGTGTTCCTGGCACTGGCTTTCTCACTCATGCTATTAATCTCTACCTCAGATGTATGTTTCCTCTTCTTCAGTGAGGTTGACATATATTACATATTATTATCATACACTGGATACTCTAGCAAAAGTTTAACGAAATAATTTAAGGCCTATGCTGACATGAGATTTAACTGCATAATCAATTACAAAGACAGCAAATTACAAGATTTGCAGGTGCACAAAATCTTTAAATTAAGACCTAAGATACAGACACATCAATGGGACACAACTACAATTAATGTTATCTAGAAATAAACGCTTTGACTTAATGGGGTTTTCTCTTTATCTTAATGGGGTTTTCTCTTTATCGGAGATAAGGCATTGGATGATTTTTCCTCTTCATTATCTACAGATAAGCCTCCTATATCAGACTTGCAGTACTTCCTGGACTTCCAATCTCACAAGGCATGGGCTCCTTTGCTAAGTGACCTCCCTCTAGGCCCAATCTCAAATCGATCAATACAAAATTCATCCCTTCACGTCAATCTCATAGGTCCTAAGCTCTATGTCAATACAACTCCGGTATCAGTTCATACTACAGCTTCTATAATTTTGGTTATCGTCATACCAAATCCTTTAACTTAATGAACTCTAGTATCTCAGGTAATTGTCGCAAGGAGACCCGTGACCGGGATGAGACTCCACCTTGAAGGCAAAAGGAACAACCGGTTAGTACTAAAGTCAGTCCATGTTATACTCCTTTAGTTAGGTGTCCTGATTCATCTACATTTTGATATTTTTGCTTGTATAAACTGAGAGTCATATCAAACATTTCCAGGTTTATATTTTGACTTGCCAACATGCTTGATATGAAATTAGGTTAGCAGAGTCATATCAAACATTTCCAGGTTTATATTTTGACTTGCCAACATGCTTGATATGAAATTAGGTTAGCAGTCCACCTTGAGCACCTGTCCAATACTCATTTTGACTTGCCAACATGCTTGATATGAAATTAGGTTAGCAGTCCACCTTGAGCACCTGTCCAATACTCCCACATTCCTCGAAAACTGCCACGAGACATATGGCTCCTTATGGAGAGGATCAGAGATGATCGCTGACGAGAGATTCTATGAGCCAATTCAACGAAAGAAACTCTCTCACGTGTGCACTGTCCCGGTGAAGTATGATCCACAGTGGTCCACTCAAAAAAGAAGTAAGCACCCACCTAGAGACCCTTCATCAAGGTTATCAACATATTTATCATATAACTCCTTTATAGCACATTTATGTCTATTTTGAAGGTGAATCAGCATTCATCGTTACTGGAGTTCAGCTCCATGTAACACCCTATGACTCTACTAGTGTTCTACACATTCGGCTTCTCTTCTCAGAGATTCCAGGCTGCATCATTGGCCAATCAAAATGGGAGCGAGGCTCATTGGGTTTCTCTCAAAAGACAGGCTTCTTCTCGTTCACAAATAACAGTGCTGAGAGAGAGCAAGAGAGGCAGGAACAGCAGAGGCCAGTTGTATTGGTTGACTCGGGTGTTTACCCTGCAGGCCCACCAGTGCCGGTGCAGGCTCAGAAGCTTCTAAAGTTCGTAGATACTTCACATATTTGTAAAGGTCCACAAGATAGCCCGGGGTATTGGATGGTCACGGGAGCAAAGCTAGACTTGGAGAAGGGAAAAATCGGTATTCATGTAAAATTTTCTCTTCTAACTTTGGTATCTTAATCTGTATAAATAATGATGTATAGTGGTAGATTAATTTGATGTTACCAAATCTGTTTCTTCTTTCCTTTTGTGGATGCATAAGAGGAGTTCTCTAGAGGGGAGTGATAAAAGGAGGCGAAAGTAGTATAGTGTACCCAGTTTATTTTTTCAATGCTTTATTACAATGTTTTTGAAGAAATGAAATTTGTTCCGGGATGAAGATAACTGAAGAATACTACTATACTCTTTGTAATCTGTAATTCAATCCATTGACTAATTCAGTTGAATCAACCTTAAAAATGGTACAAAATGTTTGAAAAAGAATGCTTGCCATCATGAAATTTCCGGGCTTATATACTGACATCTTGAGGACATCTTAATGCTGCAAATGTCTCTATGAGAAATTAACTGGTCTCTATAGTTCTCATTGCGGAGCATGTTTAGGAACTTTGGTGGATTATAATCCACTTGGAATTATAATCCATTTGTGGATTATAATCCACTACTCCATTTGGAATTATAATCTATTTGTGGATTCTAACCCAAGTGGATTATAATCCTGAGTGTTTGTTAATTGTGGAGTGTTTAGCAAATGGGTGGGTTATAATCTATCATTCTTGTCAAAGTGACCAAAATGTGGTGTTGGTGGTGAGTTATTAAATGAGGCTAGAGATTTTGTGAAATCATGAGGGGTATAATGGTCTTTGACTTGGTCAAACCTAATGGATTATAATTCACCAAAAAATAATATGGGTTGTCATGAGTTATTGTTTTGGTGGACTATATAATTCACTCGCCAAACATCAAAAAGTTCTATGGATTATAATCCACTTTGACTATTTGTCAAACATGCTCTAATGTATATTGGTTGAAATGAGGGTCGAACAGGTATCATGCTTCCTTAATTGATTTGACTAAGTTAATCTACAAGCAAGTAAGTTAAAGTAATGATTTACATGATCTGAATCTAATGTTGCTTTGATTTTTTTTGTATGTGTGTGTGAATATATATATTATAGATTCACTTAATTGATCAATAATTTAATCTAGTGAATAAATTTCAATTTTATTTACATAACTGGCTTGAGGGCTTGGTCCACCACACTTTTTAACCGTTAGATTCACTTAATTGATCAAGATTTTGATCTAATAAATAAATTTCTATTTATTAAATAAGGGTAGTTTGGGAATAAAATATAAAAATAGTTGGAAAGTAACCAAATGTGATCACACCAAATCACATTCTGAGGTTTCTGAGATGAAATAGTTTCGGCTTCTCTCTCTTTGATCTTTGACGGAAGAGAACATTTTTGCTTTTCTTTCTGAGATTTTTATGGGGAAAAAAATCGGCGCACATTTTTTTTTAAATAATCCTTATGTTAATGACTCCGATGCGCTAGGACCTTCACTTCATGTTCGTAAATGACTTCGATGTTGAAATATTATCCTTTGGAATCCTACATTTTATTTAACCTCTCTCACCTATCTTTCCTCCTAACAAGTAGTGGATCGGATCAGCATACCGTTGTGGAAATTAAAGCATTTATTTTTTCCACAGTTAATGGCCAAGACATGGCTACATGAAATATGTTTTCTTGTTGTTGGTTGTGAATATTTCCTTCATTCTTCTGGTTTAGGATGAAAAGAAAATATCTATTGTAGATGGATCAATAAAATGCTTTTAAGATTGAGTGCGAAAATTGTTCATTAATTAGTCTAATTCCATCTTATTCCCAACTAAAGTTTACTATTCTCATCTCCTTAAGTTGCTTCGCAAATAGACTAACCTACCGTAGATGAATAATTCCTAAATTCTTTGCTAGTTATCTAATCAAATGTTATCCCAAATATCGCGTAAAAGTGTATAATGATGTTCAGGCAGCAATCGCTTCCTTGGAAACCATGAATTTGAATGCAAATATCCATTCTTAAAACTTTCATTTTCCTTAAATAATTCTTTAAAAATTTTGAACATATTGTATTTAATTGAATTCTCTCTTTGAGTCTTTCTGATAACCTTATTGACCAGCATTAGCAAGTTGAACAATTCTGGGTTGATGCCCATTATATCTTCTCAACGTCAAGGTTGGGAAGATGGCTGAGAATGTAGAGAGTCGATTCGACTCCCACCTGGTGACAGACCACCACGAACCCCACCAATGTGGTAATAGAGTTCGGTTTGATTTGAGAGGGCGAGACCCCCAAAGCCTCAAAAGTGCGGCAAAGAAAGGGATGGAGTGAGAGATGGAGACCGTGCTCCAAGTGGCAGAAGTACACCAAAGTGATGATGTCGCTGTGCTCATATACCGCCTCCTTCTCCAGCGCTGATAGTGTGAACTCATGAGGGAGATCAAACCGGTCATAATAGTTTTATATTTCCGTTGCACACATCTTGGAATGGAACTTCCTAAGCAAAATAATCTTAGCCTCGTTGCGAATGATGACAGAAGCATAGGAAGCCTTTGGAAGAAAAGATCACTGGAACATGATTAGAAATCGCTTAACACGCCGAAAAATTCTAGGGTTCTGAGAGTATGAAAACGAGCCCTTTAGAAGAACAGATATATATAGACCTTGGAATTTGAAGTGACTACTCAGGAACCAAAGCGCTGCCCTCTGATTGGCACACTATCCGCGCTCATAAAATGAGGCAATGCCAGCACACGATCTCCCATAATGTCAGAACATCACATCAATAGTGTAGGCATCGAAAATTGCCTATAGTTCTCCACAACCGGTTCAGTGTTAACGAGCGACGATGAACGTCACCATCCAATCCACATGAGCCTAATCGACGTCGACGAACGACTAAAGTGAATCGACGAGTTACGTAAGCGGATAGGACTTCGGAATCACGAAGACCCGGACCAATCGGGAAGCCCGGCACTGTTCACAAAAAGGACAACGCCCTCCGTGCCTCGACCACTCTAAAGACAATCCAACCATCAGAGCAGATCGAACTCTTCGTCACGCGTCCAACGCACCCGGAATCACTCAAATCCGAGTTCGTACGAAGAATCTACGGGGAAAACAATCAAATACACCTACGGGTCTCAGGAATTCCCAAAACACCCCCAGGGGGTGTCTCAGAAATTCCGAGACACCCCAGGGGTGTCTCGGAATTTCCGAGACACCCCAAGGGGTGTCCTCACTTTGTATAAACTGTTCCTCAATACTCCAAAGAGTACAAGAGTATAAACTGTTCCTCAATACTCCAAAGAGTACAAGAGTATAAACTGTTCCTCAATACTCCAAAGAGTACAAGAGTATAAACTGTTCCTCAATACTCCAAAGAGTACAAGAGTATAAACTGTTCCTCAATACTCCAAAGAGTACAAGAGTATAAACTGTTCCTCAATACTCCAAAGAGTACAAGAGTATAAACTGTTCCTCAATACTCCAAAGAGTACAAGAGTATAAACTGTTCCTCAATACTCCAAAGAGTACAAGAGTATAAACTGTTCCTCAATACTCCAAAGAGTACAAGAGTATAAACTGTTCCTCAATACTCCAAAGAGTACAAGAGTATAAACTGTTCCTCAATACTCCAAAGAGTACAAGAGTATAAACTGTTCCTCAATACTCCAAAGAGTACAAGAGTATAAACTGTTCCTCAATACTCCAAAGAGTACAAGAGTATAAACTGTTCCTCAATACTCCAAAGAGTACAAGAGTATAAACTGTTCCTCAATACTCCAAAGAGTACAAGAGTATAAACTGTTCCTCAATACTCCAAAGAGTACAAGAGTATAAACTGTTCCTCAATACTCCAAAGAGTACAAGAGTATAAACTGTTCCTCAATACTCCAAAGAGTACAAGAGTATAAACTGTTCCTCAATACTCCAAAGAGTACAAGAGTATAAACTGTTCCTCAATACTCCAAAGAGTACAAGAGTATAAACTGTTCCTCAATACTCCAAAGAGTACAAGAGTATAAACTGTTCCTCAATACTCCAAAGAGTACAAGAGTATAAACTGTTCCTCAATACTCCAAAGAGTACAAGAGTATAAACTGTTCCTCAATACTCCAAAGAGTACAAGAGTATAAACTGTTCCTCAATACTCCAAAGAGTACAAGAGTATAAACTGTTCCTCAATACTCCAAAGAGTACAAGAGTATAAACTGTTCCTCAATACTCCAAAGAGTACAAGAGTATAAACTGTTCCTCAATACTCCAAAGAGTACAAGAGTATAAACTGTTCCTCAATACTCCAAAGAGTACAAGAGTATAAACTGTTCCTCAATACTCCAAAGAGTACAAGAGTATAAACTGTTCCTCAATACTCCAAAGAGTACAAGAGTATAAACTGTTCCTCAATACTCCAAAGAGTACAAGAGTATAAACTGTTCCTCAATACTCCAAAGAGTACAAGAGTATAAACTGTTCCTCAATACTCCAAAGAGTACAAGAGTATAAACTGTTCCTCAATACTCCAAAGAGTACAAGAGTATAAACTGTTCCTCAATACTCCAAAGAGTACAAGAGTATAAACTGTTCCTCAATACTCCAAAGAGTACAAGAGTATAAACTGTTCCTCAATACTCCAAAGAGTACAAGAGTATAAACTGTTCCTCAATACTCCAAAGAGTACAAGAGTATAAACTGTTCCTCAATACTCCAAAGAGTACAAGAGTATAAACTGTTCCTCAATACTCCAAAGAGTACAAGAGTATAAACTGTTCCTCAATACTCCAAAGAGTACAAGAGTATAAACTGTTCCTCAATACTCCAAAGAGTACAAGAGTATAAACTGTTCCTCAATACTCCAAAGAGTACAAGAGTATAAACTGTTCCTCAATACTCCAAAGAGTACAAGAGTATAAACTGTTCCTCAATACTCCAAAGAGTACAAGAGTATAAACTGTTCCTCAATACTCCAAAGAGTACAAGAGTATAAACTGTTCCTCAATACTCCAAAGAGTACAAGAGTATAAACTGTTCCTCAATACTCCAAAGAGTACAAGAGTATAAACTGTTCCTCAATACTCCAAAGAGTACAAGAGTATAAACTGTTCCTCAATACTCCAAAGAGTACAAGAGTATAAACTGTTCCTCAATACTCCAAAGAGTACAAGAGTATAAACTGTTCCTCAATACTCCAAAGAGTACAAGAGTATAAACTGTTCCTCAATACTCCAAAGAGTACAAGAGTATAAACTGTTCCTCAATACTCCAAAGAGTACAAGAGTATAAACTGTTCCTCAATACTCCAAAGAGTACAAGAGTAT